TCTCAAATTATTCAGCAATAATAAAGCAAGCTTATTCTTTCAAATGTTCTTTAGTATGGGGCAATCTATTCTAGAATATTTGCAATAATCTTATATATTGTGGATAATATTATTGATGACAATTTTGAGAACAATTACTTTCGTTGTCTGTTGTTAAATTATACTCTGATTTGACATGTTTTTATTAGTTCATGAATTATTTTCTAGGATCACTGATGACAGAAATGCCATTATCTTAATAGGTAAAGAGATCAATCAAATAATCTTGAATTTATCTTGCAGTTTATTTAATTTTCAATAAAAATTTGAGAAGAAATTCAGAAAATTATCAAGAGCTATTCAGTAGGGAAGGGCGAAGTTTACTGGTTTCCAGGTCGAGTTTTCCGCAAATAACTCTGAATTTAAAAGACATATGGAAATTTGCTCAGGAGGTCTTTTGTGGACTGGATAGAGAGCTACAGAAAAGGTCCTCAGAAAAATGTAGCTATCTCTTTTAATTCCAGAGATATTCCTTGAGAACTCTTCATTATACCGAATTCTCTTTTTCTTCCCTGGAATTCAAGAGTTAAATCTCTTATCTTTAATGATCCCATTTCCGGTTGGAAATACCCCGACAGATCAGACTTTAGAACTTGAAGATGTGCCAAGAATCCTTTTATCAGAGAATAAAATAACCCGATACGAAAGCCAAAACAATATCAAATTTTTCCCTAAAAATTTGTTGAAAAACGTTAACCGATATTTTATCTTTCGGCTAGACATAAAAAAAATATATGACGCCCAGAAATTATTCAAGACCGTTATCTCCCGAGCGACGAAAGCCTCATATTTTATTTAGCCCGAGTATGACAAGATAAACATGGATTTAACCAGTGGAATCGACTCGTCTGTTCCGCTTTCAACGTACCGAAAAGAATTATCGAAGGGAGAGTAATAAAAAAATAATAAAAAATAGTTAAAAAATTTCAGCGGGTAAATCCAGTAATTTCACGTCGTGTTTGGATGTAAAGGGTATGTCACGTAGTTGAAAGGGTGCAGGGCGAAATGAGAGGTATATCCAGTGGGAATGAAGTGACGGGGGAGCCCTTTCCCGGGCCTGAAACTGACAGCATCCTCACGTCTCTGTGTCCTATCGTTCACCATTTCGAACGGCACCCGATTTTCGGGGTTTGGTGGGATCGAAGCCCGAGGAAAACCACCGGGAAATGCGATATGGTTTGAGGCTATTTGGTGAGTAGCTCGTGGAGAGAACCAGTGGTCAAACAGAATGGTTAAACTCGATGGTTATTCCTCTTTTTCATTTTATTCTGATGGGATTGCACCGACAGAATATAATAATTCTTTTTTTCCGCTACACCCACACCACATGGAGAGAAATATTTAGTAAAATCTGTTTCGAAGTGGTAAAACTAGGATAAGCGCATTTATTTCGAAATCAATTTCTTGTCAATATCTTGAAATTGAACGGAAATAACGATATTTTTAAAGAATTTTTAAATCTTTTTTGTAGCTCTCCTATTGTTCTATAAAAAATGTTTATGTGAAATAATTTAATTTAAAAAATAGTTTAACGAGCAGAGACATTAATAAATCGACAACGCTTGATGCTAATATTCCACGCGTTTTCCTGGTACAATTCTATCCGACCATTGCCTCACACAATTTCCGGCGCCACCCAAAACCCAAAAAAATTTATCGATACGATAAGTCTATCTCCTTCTACAGAACTGCGGTACTGATATAATAATAAAATAAAACAACAGATCTAAAAAAAACTCAGAACTCTCGAGTTTTCTCGAATTTTCACTATTGGATGAATATATTATTCAAAAATTGAAAAAAAAATGCATTCAACGCTCAAAATGCATATCCGAGCTCCGGAGATGATGCAATTTGCAGGGGTACGCTAAACCCCGTTGGGAAATCATGAGTACATGCCGCAACACGTCTGGGTATAAGGTGTTAATTACTCGAGATATTGGACTAAAACGCTCTGACGTGTCTGATGCCACCACTATTAACGCTCCCAATACACCAGGGATGATCACAGGATTGGCACATGTCCCAAAACTTTATCCACGATAAATAGCGAATTGTAAATCAATCAACTATACGAGGTGAAATCACGCGGACGGAGACGGAATCCGAGACATCGGCGAACCGCGAAAAAACAGTTTGAGGAAAGAAGATTTACTTGATACGGGAAAATACTTTCTCATCAATTTAAAAACTCGGCAAAGCTCCCGATAAATCCCTCACGGAGATTTCCCCATTACCTGAATTGACAAGGGAATAATTTATTGCATTAACGCAGAAAAATGGAATTTTAAGTTACGATTATAAAATCGTTATAATTTTATATGTTATGATTGTATATACATATGTAATTGGCGGTTACAGTTTTTTGGGTGAAATGCATTTTACTTGTGAGAGTAATTTTTTTTGGTATGACTTTATCGAGGAATTTGACATTTTTAGAGAGAAATAAATCGATGGCCGGCCTTTGTCATGGGGAGCGTAGGTTATTCGAAAAAAATGGCGAGTAATAAACGAGCGGGTAATACTGGTAAAATTGGGGCCAAGTTTTTCAGCATTCAAGACAACAGGAAGGTTGAGTGCTCCTTTGTGGAGACTCTTGGAGGCCTTCGAAAAAGACCGTGACCCGGCATTAAAGTACCACGAGCTTCAGTCCATTTCGAAGATTTAAATGTGGAATGCCTTTTTAATTGAAGGAAAAATTTATAAAAATATTGTAGTCCAATCGCAGGATTTTTTTTTACAAACAGAACCAGACAAATCACCTGTTTCGCGTTTTGAGAACGGCGGGAAATTATTCCGGAAAATTCTAGAACTAGTAATGCAAGAATTTTTATTGAATTTTCCCGTAAGTCCGGAAACTTTCGTCAAGAAATTTCTAGCATTTTCTATCGATTAATTAAACTGAAATTTGAAAAAATGAAAAAATTTTTTTTATCGATTATTTATAAAATCTAAACGAATTTTAAAAGAGAAAACCATATATTATTGAATTTACAATATAAATAGAAAATTCGATGGAACATTTCACACTATATAAAATGTTTCCATAAAAACCAAAGTTTGTAATGTCTAGAATTCCCTAGAATTGAAAAAAATCAATAATGAAGTTTTATCTATGAATTTTCAGAACTATAAATGAATACTGGCTTAAGAGTTTGATCCGAAATATTAAAAAAATTATGAAAATCGGCATTTCACCACACGATTACATGAATCGTCACGTAATTTCCCTCGGTATTTTTCTCGAAATGAAAAGAGTTGGCACTTTTCCCGCATACAAAACATGTCTCAGGGGCAATGTACGTGGCTCTCGATGCTTTGTTAGTCGAGGAACACTTCTCAACTGAATTTGTGCCACCCTGAAAGGTTACGGGGATTCTAAATATAACGTCGGGGATGTAGGCCTCCCTTTCAGCTTTAAAGAGTATGTACGCACGAAGAGAAATATTTATTAAAATTTACCCCCAAGTTTTCCAATTGAGGAGTATATTCGTCGCCATTGACCATTATCTTCATGAGAATTTCCAGTAACAATTACATAACGCTCAGTAAAAGTTGTGTGAAAAATGGTCATTTTACCCCGGTACTGGGTCATTTTACCGCAATTTTGGTAAAAATTGCCGTAATTTTTCTGTGTATTTTTCAACAATTTCTTGATTTAGAACAAAGAACTGCCTCAAAAAAAATTTTTTTGTTATAAGGAAATATTCTTTTGTCAACTTCGGAATCGTGAAATCACCTGATGAATAATTAAATCAATAATTCAATAATAATTCGTAAATTATTGATAGGATTGTCATTATTTAAAGACTCACGAAGTTTAGTGGTGGATACAATAATTTCCATGCATTTTTTCTACGGTTTTGTGATTATTTTTTTAAATTTGGAAAAAACGCAAGAAAATGTTCGCACGACTTTGGAACTCTGTGAGTCATTAAATAATAATAGACCACAATTTTAGCGAAACGGGTGTAGAATACCTTAAGATATTGGATGATTTTAAAAAGCACTTCAATGAAATTTGGCTCATCGCTCTGGTTCCAATTTCCTTGAAATCAATGAGGATGGCAATCGAAGAGAGAATTTTACGTGCCGATTGTAAATCCGAGAGAATTCGCCATCTCACTTGGATAATTGAGTTCCACCCATCAATTACACCGGGAAACCAATAAAAGTCAAGTCACCCTCAGATTTGGATTCCAAATCATACGGATTTCCTCTGAGCAACGCTATTTGCGCATTCCTGTTTAGACACAAATAGCTATCCAGTATTTATAGATCGAGAAATTGATATGTCGCGGGATTCGGAGAATATGAGTTGTCAATTCCTGTGGAATCCGGGGACTCCAACTCTTCACTTCCAACGAGTTACGGTTTCAGTGGGATTTCGGAGAATCATTATTTAATGAAATAACAAAATAGAACTGGCAATTGTTATTCAATTATTTCATGGAAAATAACAAAAATTGGTTTGTGCACTGTTGCAAACTATTACATTATTATTGCGATATGCCAACCATATTTCAACGGAAATTTTAGTTCTACAAAAAATTTCAGTAATCCGTCAGTATATACAGCGCTAAAATTAATCCCCGAAATTTCTCTCTACGAAGGAACTTTGACGTATAAATAAATAAAAAAACACATAAAAAAATGAATTATCTAACCAGATAACAAAAAAAGCGTTAATTCCAGAGACCCAGGATTAGCTCCGATTCCACTATCCTCCGAGTAAACAAGAAAGTCATTTATTTATTTGGGATATCTCACGCTCATAAATTTTCCTTACCCCAGAATCCTAAAATGGAGTATTCCTAAAAGTAAGCAATTATTCCCGTGTGCTCGCGGTTTCCTCGCAAGTTGCAAGTCAACTGTCCATTAAATTAAATTTTTCTCCAGCCGTCCAACAATTACCGCGTCGCGCTCCGTTAATTTTCCCCCGTTAATGACGATTTTATTACCTTCAAGATTGCATGTTGACACAGAGGGTGTTACCCTCGCTTGACTGGTCACAGCTAAGAGAAAGGGTGTTGCAGTTATCTGAAATGTTTTGGATTTCGGCACATCCTGTTTCAAAACACTATAACTCTTAGCACGTCTCCTGAACAACGGTGAATCCAGAAAGCTGTCATCATACTGCGGCATCTTTGTACTGATGCAATTATCAAAAAATTATCCACTGCACAGTTTGTATTTGCGTTGCATAGTAATTATCCGGTGTTGACAATCATTTTTAACGGTAAGTCGTCGAGGAAATGTGAGACGAGACGCCAAAGCCTTCACCGCAATCACCAACCACTGATTTTTTTAAAATTTTATTATTATTATTTCAGCTACTGCTTTTCAATATCCGTTGACATCCGTGTTTAGCATCTTGCGGTTATCTCAAGTCACTGATATCTCCGTCGACTCGATTACCCTTGTTTCATTCATTGAAATAGTCAGTTGCATTCAGAAGTTTTTATGATCTGTTGCTCTGAACTTTGTCCGATTATAACTGATTCACGGCCGCAGACCGCATTTTCTGGGTCAAAAAATACTCACAGGCATTGAATTAACACTTTACTTTTTACTCATTATCCACTGAATTGAATGAAATAAAATTCTTTTTATCTGTGTTATGAGTTTTTATGGGTCAAAGTAACACTTGCAGTGTTTAATTGCAAATGCGGAGAAGAATTTTAGGGATGAATAAATAGAAGAAATACTCGGACATCCTTGATAACATCGGCAATGGACCGGATACGATCTCAAAATCTATTTCTCAACATCTTCACCCAACGATATCCGACACCAAACTGTCTACCGTGCAATAATCAAACTATAAACCGTCGACAGAACGTTTCATCCTCACTAGAGCGAGCACACAATCGAGAAGGGCGAGTTAACAAAGTGTCACCCAATGATCCAAGGCGTTATTTCAACCGTGAAAAATGGCCCCAAACAAGCTGCCTCCGCAGAGAGAAAAAGTTTCTTCATGTTAGAAAAGAAGTTTTCGGTATTGTAGAAAATACACTGAGAGAAAACGCTACTTTTGTCAAAGAGGATTTACGTGATGCAAGAAATCTGATAAATAATTTCGCTTTCACGCCGAGAGACAAAAGTGCTTCGACATTCACTTGTACCGATTTTCAAGTTTCTGCAGGAGTCTTCCCATAAATTCATGTGATTTGCGTTATTTATAGATAACCCTATAGCGATCTATTGAATTAATCTCACTGCCTGATTTCTCATCAGCTGCAACTGAGAAATTGCTGTTTCGATTAATGAAAATTTTAACATAAAAAATAACAGATAGAATGCTGACTACGTGAATTCATGAAGACGACATCATTCTAGTCTTTAAAATACACTGAGAAAAAATGTTGAAAAATTTTCAGAAATAATTGACGGGTGGATCTTTTCGAGGAAATGTTCGGCACAGAGAAAAATATTTAATCAAAACGATTTATATTTTTTTGAATTCCAGAGAGAGAAGTCGTCAAGGAAATTGGGAAGGAAAAGGCGATGAGTATTCGTGAGAAATAAATTAACAATAAAGCTTAAAAACGCTATATTTTTTCAGGTCGATTTTATCAACCATTCCTCAGAATTTGTGAGGAAAAATTTTCAAATGAGAAGATATCGGCAATAACTCCTTAAATCGATAACTAGAACAATTCAATACAATTCTTGTGTGAATTGTATCTTTCTCGTCAAAAGGGGTATATGTTCTGTTCTACCACCAATCTATTTCTTTTTCTGCCCCATCCACAAATTCCGTCAGATCTCCCAAAACCAAGTTGCCCACGATCATCCGTAATTATAATATCTGTACTTGCGACCCAGTTTAAGATGTGATTACAGCGACACTTCCCGTTTGCCTCATGCTACTCATAAGTCTCCCTCCTCGTCTCGGTATTTTTGGAGTTTGCGGACGGTTTGGTTTCACTTTCTCCCCCTGTTTTAGGAAACAGATGTGGCACAACAAATTTCTCTAGTAAAAATCGGTACCTCACGAGAAAAAAATACTGAGGATTTGAGCCGAATGTTTTTGTTGCAGTCTGGATTAGCAGCAGTGGTATCTACTAACCGATCGGACCTTGATCGCCAATCACGGGGCACCCTACATGCTCCATTTGTTCATGCCACAAAGTTCCACGTCATTTCACTCGACTTTGAAGTCCACACCAAAACCAGTAGCGAAACAGTCAAACGATCCAAGTCAATTCGGTCCTTACCTGCTTTTTTTACATCTTCGAATCTGAGGCAGATATCGAATGCTCAAAGAGAACCTTTTTTGTAGTGCTTGTTCAAAGCTACAAAAAAGATTCTGACACAAATTTCAATATCTGCGATCACTTCTGAGATATTTGTTGAAGCCTGATAAGTCAAAATGGACTTGGAACTTTTTATCGCTTCGCTATTGAACTGAATCATCGATTCCATTTGAATGCAAAAGCTAAAACAATTAGCGAAGTGCCGCACTATGACAATTTGATCAATTGCAATTAATTCTTGACTATCCCTCGATGTTCTATCGATTCCGTTTGAAGATTTGACTCTGGACTTTTCATTGGTAATGGAAAATTGTGGGAAATGTGAAGATAAATCTCAGTGAGAGAGACTGTAATTACTCTTTTGATCTTCTGCCGATTTCGTTCGAGGATTTAGTTCTGGCTCTTTCATTTTTAATAGAAAAATAGAGGAAATGTGGAGACAGACCGAAGCGAGAGCGACAAATGGCCAACCGGCTTGGCCGCGAATCAGAGGTGGACTGTCCGCTGCAGGAGAGCAATTGGACAGCAAAATGGACTGACTTTGGCTTGGGAATGAAAGCTTGTCTATTTTAACAGACCGAGGGGGTTCTGAGGACGGAGCTGTTGTAGGAGACGCATTAACTCATCTGCGCTAACTGTTTGTCGGATGGAATTATTGAGCAGGCGTTCTGATTGTTTAGCTCTGGGTGACAGTTTGCGTCATCAGTCGGTTGTATTAGGATCAATTGAATCGTTCCCGCTATTCCTACGGTAGAAAATTTTTTTAAAATATATGTGTCATGCTACGGCCTAGGCGTCGGTCTGTAAAGTTACTTGGGTATTCTTATCTTGATGTTGACGCTTATATTTTGAAATAGTTAATTCATCCATCTCATTTTTTCTATTCTGACTAATCAAGAATGCTATATAATCTAACGTTTCGAGAATTCTATTAGTAGCTCAATTAACAATTATAATTACAATGATTAAACTGCAATTTTCAACTGAAAAGCTCAGGAGAATTTCAGTGGATGAATGGGGAATGCTCAAAATATGATGGAAATTTCAGATATCAATTGGTAATGATGTAATTCAAGTCTAGAAAATTATAAATAATTTTAAACTCCGTAATTTCCGTAGCGTTTACTGTACTGTCACCTAATTATTCGATTTTTTTTCTCGTGCGTCAACTACTCTGGAGGCATGATTATAATAATGATGGGAATCGTCAAATGAACATGCATTTCATTGGATGATATCCTCGACGCGTCTCCTTCGAGAGTATCTGCAGTACCCTCGGTAACATCCCCGGAATTTTCAGACTAATTCCATTGGAGTTACTCAACGCCATAATCGGCTTAAATCCTCGTGGAATTCCGAGGATGGACATGTACGTATCCCCTTGAAATTCCCAGTTTGATATACACATCCCCGGACATTTCGAGTGGCGAATGCACCTCTGCACGAACTCGAAGGGATCCTCGAGCCTCCCCCAGGAGATTGAAAAAAAAAATTCTCAACCACTCGAGCATATTCTGAGCTCGAGTTTCTCGGGAGGTTTTCTCCCCGTCCTCGAAAGGTAAACAAGGGTGAGGCATGAATGATTCACCGGGTGGAGGTTAGAGTGAGTTTCCCCGTTGTCGTTTAAGGAAGATCGACAGTTTCCAGGGAAGTTACACCGAAAATAGTTACATATTCATGAACTGCTGACGTAACTGGTGACACCCCCGGTGAATCTTGTGGCTGTGCACGCGTGAAATGGCTGACAGTCCCGAGGAACATGCAATTCCTCCATTTGCATGGATAGTAAAGTCCAAGTCTAGGTTCTTTGATCGAGTCCCCGTGCACAGCTGTATATAACATATTTTTGCGATGTTATATGAAGAGAATATTCCCTGATAATTCACTATTTTCCGACAAAATCAAAGATAGCAAAATTGCAATTCAATTATTATTCAGTATAAATACAATAAGTTGGAGGAATTCAGTCGGATATATTTCATTCTTTAGAAAAAACGTTCAATTAGAAGAGTCTTCTTAATTTTAAATTTAAATTCGTTAAATTTTCTTGATTCATATTAACTTCAATTTTTTTAATGAAATTTTGAAATTCTGCGGAATTTCTTGGAATTTTCGGAAGATTATAATATCGTATCAATTTTCAAATTGTAAAAAAGTGTCAGAAATTTCTCGTCAGTTAATAGTGAAAAGGATTTTCAAGTGTTATTAAAAAAAATTAAATATATTGCCATGGCGGCAATTCGATTAAAATCAATTGCATTGGTACGATTTGTCGGTATCACTGTCCCTTTCATCGTTCACGTAGTAATTGCTAATTTTATATTCTTCTGTGTATTGAAATCAAAGGTGAAAGGGCACATGTGCACGACTTCTAAATAGGTAATTATCTCGATGCCACAATTCCCTTTCAATGTTCCCCTTCATAATCCTCATTTCGGCTTTCTGAAGGATAGACCACAAGTTTGGCCATAGAATTATTTTCAATGACCAGAAAGAACAGCCAACTTAGAATTTAATGAGAGCTGGCTTTCGAGGGGGAACGGACTTCTCTCTTTTCACGTCAATCTCACTTATTCACCTCCACTCCGGATTTTCAGCGGCATCGCAAAATTATTGGCCTTGCCGGTAGCAAATTCCGTTCAGCCACTTTTTTTTTTTGTTACTCAGTTTTCCTCTTTTCATTCCTCAAATGCAGACGCGTTGAGAGAAATACAGCTATGAATTCCAGAATTCATTAGAGAAATGCTCATCAATAACGCAAATTATCGGGATGTTCAACATTCTCTTGCAACTTCTGACTCCGAATTGAACGAGGAAATTAATCACCAAAATTTTAATACATTTAGTTTTTGACCGCAAAGGTCTTTTTTTAATGTTTCAATGGTTACTCTGGTTCTTAAATATTTCAATGGTAATAATATACTTGTTTGTAAAATAATTCCACTGGAATTAATTTCTTTCTCAAAACCAGATGCAATGAACAAATAAAGAAAATAAACAAAATATTCAATCAACATGGAATAAACTTTATTATTTTTCTAAAATAATTGAAGTGGAACGTATATTTTCCAGATTTCATTGATCCAATCCTTTTTCCTCCGAAGACCAAACAAAACTAAAAAATTAAGAATAATGATTAATTTTTCAATAAAAAAAAAACCGAAACGAGAAGAATTCATTACGAACTGGTTAGATTGACGAGAATATAATTTTGTTTCTGTTGTTCTCACAGAGCAATCCGCCCCAGTTACGGCCTGATTCTAGTCTTACCCATCAAATCAACAAGAATTAACGATAATTACGCGAGCGAGTGTATGGAGTATAATGAGATGTGCGTGGCACCAGTTGGTACTGGAATTGATCGTCTTGTATGTGGCCGTTTCAAACAGCATCCTATTTCAGAAGGAAATACGCAGAGGGGTCATTAAACTCCGGATTGTAATGTGTATATCCTAGAGTACAAATACTGCACCTGTTACACCCACTAATGATAGCCCATCGTCAATCCTCGGATATCCGACAATTTTCATACCGGCGAGTGCATTCAACTCATCGGAGCGCATTCAAATCCGATAGATCATCCACGATAATTTATGCACGAGAATTTTCCCTTTTCAAGCGGAATTTCCTACACTTTTTTTCTCCAATCCATTCATTAAATTCTACGAATGAACGTACGCGAAAACAGATAAAAATAATGAGGGTATTCCAATGAACAGAGAAGATTCAGATGTTTTATGAATTTTCAGTAACATTTGCATTTTCATTCTCAATATTAAAATGGAGAAAAATATAAATTTGTGTGAAATGAGAATTTTAGCCCAGAAAAAAACATTTCTTACTCATATAACAAAATTTAAAAAACCAATTTGATTGAAAAGGGAAAATTCATAGAAGTTGTTGATAAATTTTCAATAAACAATGCAAACAAATTTCACGAGAAATTGTAATTGTATTACATTTAGACATGAATTCGTTGGAAAAATAAAGATGTCAGATTTCCAGGGATGAAATACTACAATATTTTCACAAAAGAAAATGGCAATGTGTTCGTTCCGCTCGATATTTGTTGTATAAGAAAATCGTCACGACTTGTGGAAACCGGAATCCCCGGGAAAAATAACAATGACAATATTTGGGAAAGAGAGGACCCCGAAATTTTCTTTATGCGCTCTGATTTGGCTCGCGCGGTTCCATTCACCCGTAGGTTTTGTGCTGAGGGCAAAATACCCCCTGGAATTTTCTCCAGCTGTGTGCCCTCCTCGTGACACAGCTTGTTTGCCCAAGGTTCATTAACGTGGATTATTGCCAGAGGTGCAGCTCTGCTTGCGAAAACAAATAGATGGGACTAGAAATAAAGGGTGGAACGGCTACCATCCATCAACATTCGAGAAATCGAACTGAAGGTCGAAAAAGGGAAAATCCCTTTAATGTCATCCTATATTTATAAATTTATAATTTCATTCCAGAATTTGCATATATATTATTTCATCTTTTCACCCAAGAACGGAATAGCATGAAAGAGAGGAGCGACAAAAGAAATTATACGATATAAATAGAAATAATTAAAAGCATAATTTTTAAGCTTGAAAAAATACCAGAATATTTGTGTCAAATCAAAGGAGACTTCTGCAGTTCAGTAATTAAAGTCCCGAATTGAAAAGAATTTAATTGCATTAAAAGGAATTACTGAAGTTTCTCATTTCGAGGAAATTCAGGATCTCGAATTAAAGCCCGTTCCAATGGACAGTGACCCATCAATTTGACAGTCAATCTGATAACAATTAAATGATTTTCAACTATGCACCCGTAATTATAGATAATCATTTTGTGATCCGAGAGGGTTGTTCGACGGATTTAATTGCTTCTATACTAATTTAAGTAAAAACATAACTATTTTGTCACTTGTATGGTATTATAGTATTGTGTCCCCGTTGGAACATAATAGTCGATAAAATCCCCCAAAAAAGCAGTAGAATGCCCTGGATTGTCGCGTAATTTCGATCGCATGGAAAGTCGAAGGCCAGAATGGTTCGATAGTTGAAATTGTTCTGGTTTCGATGGAGTGTCCCACTGGGGTAGTTCCGGCGCGAAACACGCGCCACCACATGCCCACTCATATGCTTTTGACGTTTGGCGCCCGGTGGAAAGCTCTCCCCCGATTACGAGATAAGCCTCTAGATGTGCTAGATAAGATAATCCGAGGTGTTTTCAGTCGTTTTATTTCCCTGTTTATTTTCAAAAAATAGAACTGACGGCGGTCCCAGGACAACGCCGTGCCCGAGATAATCACCGTTAAAATCACGAGAAATAATTCAAGAAATAGGGGAGAGTATCGCCCCCATGGGGTCACCAGCAGCGAATGCACCACCCGATGCTCTTCCCATGGCAAAACCTTACCTGCGTACTTCTCTAACTTCGGTGTGGCCGCCATGGCGTTTTAATGTGTTGCCACTTTGTAATACGACACAGGACATCCGAGGAGGCACCTTTTTTATCACTATTTCACCATTTTTTCAACCGGCAACTCCGTAAGCTACGCACTAGGTGCCATTTAAATCTAATGTTAAACCGACGTGCTCCGCTACATTTTCGTTTGTCAACCATTTTTCGGGGCTGAGGCGCCGCACACCCAGACCCGACATCTCGCGGGAATCACCCGAGGGACTAGTACCATTTTAGGGGGTGGGGGAATCACCCAAGCACGCGCATGCGCTTTTTTTTTTGTTATCAACTCTGTTTACGCGGAGAGAAATATTCAATAAAAATTACTCAACTCGCGGTTCATTGAGGAAGCCGTTTGATATTTTTCAAGAGAATTTCAAATAAAAAAAATTCAAGAATTTACAATTAGGTCGCCGATGGCAGAAGCGACTCGAAAAGATTCAACTGGTAATATCGAAAATAATAACGTCTTCAGCTGCAGGGAAATACAAAAAGTAAAAACAAAGCTCCAACGATTTGATTAGTTACAAAATAGTCCTTTCATATTTTTATTGTAAATGAATAATTTATTGATAAATTCAGAATTAAGGGGATTTTTAAATTCAACTAGCATTCGGCCACCCCTATTATAACTTAATTTGAATTATCCAGCCGGAGCATGGAGACATTTCTATCCACTCTATCCGCCCTGTATAAAGTTTCCTAGATTCAGATCTACTTACTCCGATGGACCACAGCATTGCACCCAAGAGGATTGACTGAAGTAGAGGCTCAGCTCTGGGGGTTTGAGTGAACTCAGCGGCATCGTAGTACTGCACCCCTAGAGAAGGAGGGCGCCACACGCAATGGGGGTGTCGTCCCGTCATGAAAATCCAGGAGGTATTCACTGAAATTTGAAAATTCGAAATTTTTGAAAAAGTATCAGGAGAGCATGAAAATCGAGGAGGCAACCACTGAAATTGAAAAATTTAAAATTTTCAAAAAAGTATCAGGGGAGCATGAAGTTCGAGGCGGTATTCCCTGAAATCGAAAAATTTAAAATTTTCAAAAAAGTATCAGGGGAGCATGAAGTTCGAGGCGGTATTCCCTGAAATCGAAAAATTTAAAATTTTCAAAAAAGTATCAGGGGAGCATGAAGTTCGAGGAGGTATTCCCTGAAATGGAAAAATTTAAAATGTTCAAAAAAGTATCAGGAGAGCATGGAAATCGAGGAGGCATCCACTGAAATTGAAAAATTTAAAATTTTAAAAAAGGATCCGAGGAGCATGAAGTTCGAGGAGGTATTCCCTGAAATTCGAAAATTCGAAATTTTTAAAAAAGTATAAGAGGAACATGAAAATCGAAGAGGTATTCACTGAATGTTGAAAATTCAAAATTTTTATAAAAGTATTAGGGGAGCATGAAAATCGAGGAGGTATTCACTGAAATTGAAAAATCTAAAATTTTCAGAAAATAAAATTCGCCCAGTCAACTGGCCCCTCTGACAGCGGGACTGCTACTGAGGCAGTTACCGAGTTGGCTGACGGGCAGACTCCCCACCATTGCGTGCGGCCCCCTCTTTTGGGGTGAAGTACTGCCGGTGGGGTCACTCAAACCCCCAATGAGTGGCTCAATTCTGCGCACCTCACCCCAAGAGAAAGAGGGGGCCGCACCCAATGGTGGGGGTCTGCCCGTCAGCCGACTCGGTAAATGCCTCAGTAGCAGTCCCGCTGTCAGAGGGACCAATTGACAGGGTGCATGTGAATTTCTGCGTTACGATACTTTTTTGAAAATTTAAAATTTTTCAATTTCAGTGAATACCTCCTCCATTATCATGCTCCCCTGATACTTTTTTGGAAATTTAAAAATTTTTCAATTTCAGTGAATACCTCCTCCATTATCATGCTCCCCTGATAATTTTTTGGAAATTTAAAATTTTTCAATTTCAGGAAATACCTCCTCGAGCTTCATGCTCCACTGATACTTTTTTGAAAATTTAAAATTTTTTAATTTCAGTGGATGCCTCCTCGATTTCCATGCTCTCATGATACTTTTTTGAAAATTTTGAATTTTTCAATTTCAGTGAATGCCTCCTCGCTTTTCATGCTCTCCTGATACTTTTTTGAAAATTTTGAATTTTTCAATTTCAGTGAATACCTCCTCGATTTTCATGGCGGGACAACACCCCCATTGCGTGTGGCGTCCTCCCTCTCTTGGGGTGCAGTACTACGCTGCCGCTGAGTTCACTCAAACCCCCAGAGCTGAGCCTCTACTTTAGTCAATCGTCTTTGATTGCACCAGTGTTCGCCACAACTCATTGACAATAGCCTGTCATCACGTTCCGTAATTTCTTTCAGAAAGTGAAGTGACAATTTCCCAAGAGTCTCCTTTCACCTGAAGTCCTCCGAAATTGGAGGAATCCTTCCAGTGCCTCGAGCTGTCATCGTATTTTCGGCTGCCAATCAACTCGCATGGATCACTCCCATATTTTCCACTAAAATTCAATTTTGGAGTTGCAAAATCACACGTGTCTGTCAAGGAGGTGGCGACACCGAGTATTTAACCTGCCCAGTCAAGTAAAAAATCTAATAAACTGATAAATCCAATTATGAAGAGAAACTTCTCGTGAAGTTCACCTCGGAATTTTCTCCCCAAAAACCCAAAAGACACCCAAACTCTCGAGAGCCTCTAATTTCGGCGGGAAGCTGTAAAAGTTCGAATTCGCAATCAAATTCGATTAATTTATTATTAGTCATCAATCCAATAAAAAAGTCTCAACAAGACAAAACAACAAAATAAAAATCCTCCATCAATTAAAATAATTAATAAATTTAAACAAAACGATTTTTAATGCAATAGAGAGAAAAGAAAGTCAGGGTAAAATTCACAGAGTACAGAAGATAAATGAAAATGGGAAACGCAAAGATAAAGCAGCACTACGAGACAGCGAAAAAGACTGGAATAATGAATTTGTCTCAGAGGAAGATGCTGGAGTTGCCAGCAAATCTCCAGATGTTGGTGCCAGTGCTGAGAACCCTGGACCTCTCCCAGAATATGTTTAAGGTGATTCCTGATGAGATCGGGATATACACGGTGATGAAGCAGCTGAACCTGAGTCAGAATAAGTTGAGGACATTACCAGATGCCATCGGTCTCCTGGTGAAGCTGGAGATCCTGAACGCCAGCTGTAACCTGATAAATTCGTTACCCGATTCCCTCTCCAATCTCTCCAACCTTAAACAGGTTAATCTGTCTCAGAATCACATCACAGAGTTTCCCCTGGTGTTCAGTGGACTCAAACACCTGGATATGCTGGACGTCTCCAAAAATAAGCTGACTGTGGTGCCAGATGGGGTGGCGGGTCTTCACGTCACTGAGTTAAATCTCAATCAGAATCAAGTGGCCGTCCTCTCGGAGAAGATCGCCGAGTGTCCCAGGCTGAAAATCCTCAGGCTCGCGGAGAACTGCCTCCAGCTGAACGCCATTCCTCCCAGAATTCTCAAGGACTCCAAGATATCTAACATAGCTCTCGAGGGGAACCTCTTCGAAAACAAACAGATTGCACATCTCGAGGGGTATGATCAGTATATGGAACGATTTACTGCTGTCAAGAAAAAAATGTTCTAATTTTTACGGAGAAGGAAACACATGGAGAAACATTTTAGAGGAAAATTTTGGAGGTCCAGTGGGAAAATGAGAGAATTCCAATTTTGTATTTTCGTTCAATTTCCATTGATCTCGGAAACTATTGGTTCTAAACGGAAATGTTAAAAGATCTTCTTTGTAGCAAATTTAGTCAGCTGCAAAAAAGTCCACTAATGTTTTTTATACGAATCCATAGTTCTAGCGGAAAAACGAAATTTATGAAATATGGTAAACCTTAATTGTTTCAATTTATGCTGAATTCTTTGCTAGGAAAGAGGAAAATACGATAAGAACTAAATTAGGACCAGCAATGAATTTTTCTGTGTTTCTGTCAATAATTCATGTTAATACGGGAAAAAGATTTGTCAGCAATTCCCTTCGTACTTTGTGTCGTTTCCTCAAATTTTTCACTGCATTCGAATTTTCATCGGAAATTCTTCTCCGTAATGACGAATCCTCTCGATTGTGTTCAGTTGGGAGCTATTGAGATTTTTTTCTCCGAATATATGTGGTTATTGTAATAGACCATTTGTACCTGCACCTTTACGATTTTCTATGACTTCGGACGAAAGATTAATAGGAGATAGTTTTCTGTATTAATTGTGAATATTAATGATGTATTTAAAAGTTGAGGAGATTGAGAATTAAATAAAATTTGTGGAAATTCATTTTTTGCCCTGAAATTCATTGAATACTCAGAGAATTTCTTTTCATGATATCAGCTTCATTTTGCTTAATAATTTTAATAATAATTAAAAAATATAGAGCATTTCTCTGATTCTTTTCTTTAAAGGAAAAACCAAAATAAACTTGAGAACTATTAAATTTCAGAACGAAAAAAACCCGTAACGAACCATAAAGGGGAATCACATCTATGACCTAAGATCTTTCTCAAAGTACCTTCAAAAAACACAAAAAATATCGCATCTGCAAGAAAAACAAGAATATTTCTAATTTTCGAAAATACATATTTTCGCGTGAATTCTGCAACGCCGTACCTGACCCTCCGACATAGTCTCTGTTTCGACTGGTGTAGTTGAGTGACGATCAGCATGGCGCCGGCCGTCATTCGAATTCTCTTCTGCCACCTGAAATAACCTCAACCCGAAGGTTTTCCTGGAGCCCCCTGACCCTCCACCAGCGACCAACCACCTCCCGGTACCTCTCAAAAAAATTTCACCTCCAAGTCTTCGAGAAAGTCGGAGAAATTGTCACCCATAAAATTTCAATTGCCGCGCAATTTTTTGTGCATTGAAGATGCATGTGTCGGTGTGAGTGTTCTGAGTAGAACCGTAGCGGGGCACTGTGCGTGGTCGTTGCGAATGGCCGACGAGAAAAACCGAGGAAGGATGGAGGATAACAATCAAGGCTGATTCAGTGGGCGAAAAAGCCGAGGTAAGTACCTCAACTATTTTATTATCACATTATCCCGCGATTTTTCCTCTCGAGGGGTGTTTGTGGGCCCTCAGAGGTTCGAGGGTATCCTGAGGATGGAAATTCTCGGGTCGGGGGTTGCAAATATCTCTCGCGTTGTGGTATCGCCAGCTCTGGTGCCTCGTCCAATCATCGAGAAATTCATCGCAAGGTTGAGGTCTTCCCTTAATTTATTTGTTTATTAATTTTTTTGTCTGTTTACTTGCTTTTGTGGGGATGGGGCTCTTGGTTGAGATGGGGCATTTGTTTGGGGTTTTCCGGGGAGAGGGATTGACTGCTTCTGTTGGGGGACTGGTTTTTAATGAGATGCCGATCATATGGGTGCAGCCTCCACGATTTTTCTCCTCGAGAACTCAACAGTCCCTGGTGGAGGGCACAGACGATTTTTATGGCTTCCTGGGGGTCGTGGGGCCGGGGGTCGGCGGGGAACCCGGTGCGGGGGCTTGGGGATGGGGTTTAGCTTCTTTTTTTGTCGAGTGAACATGTCGGGTTATGGTGGAATGGGATTTGTTAGGTGGGTTGGGGAATTGGCGTTTTGTTTTTTTTTCGAGGGTTTTCGACGGGGTGGGAATGAACAGGTGTTACCGGGGTCAATACTAGGATTTTGGGACAGTTTTCGATGTGAGACGTTCTGATGAATTTTTGGTCTTGAGGTCGGGGGCTTACAATTTGCTGGGGAGATATTTTTGATTCTCCGCTCGTTCTTCAGGGCTTTGTGCTTTAGCGGTATTGATTTGGGTTATTCTTGGGCAATTACACAATCTTACGGTCCAGTCTGTTATTGTCAGGTCGACGACAAGAAATTGTATGGTCCAGGGAAATTTATACAGAGGTTTTAAGAGGAAAAAATAAAAAGACGGTTTACCTCAATTCCTCCCACTTTGTGGAAATTCTGTAGAAATTTGTTAGAGAGAATGAGTCTATGTACTTTCAATCTACTTAACATTAAGAAATTGTTAAAAAACAATTAACTAAAAGTACTCTAGGTGCTTTTCCTTTTCGTAATTTCCACCAATTTTTTCAATTCAACTTCATTCAGTGATATTCCAATATTGTTAAATTCCTGTATTTATTCATTACATGTTCTCATTTTTTCCACCTTGTCGCGTATTCTCCATCTCTCATTCTATAAATTTCTCTAAAACAGTTGAAATTTTCTAATTAACCAGAGATATAAATTATGTTCAGCAGTCGGGCTTGAAGATGTCTGAGCCAGAGGAGAGTCCGGCTGTGCCGGATAGTACCACCAGGGAGCAACGCCTTGGTTTCTCCCACGGTGAGGATGTCCTATTGCAGCATAAAGATGGAAAATACTACCTTGGTACAATCGTCGAGGTCGATTTGTCCCGTGATAGATGTCTTGTTAAATTTCTCGACAACACATCAGCCTGGTCGACAGCCAAGGAGCTCACCAAGCTCGCTATGCCAGATACCGACGTTATGTGTGTACTGTGTAAAAAATCACAGCCAAAATGTGATAATGATATTCTCGTTTGCGACAAGTGTGGCAGGGGCTACCACCAGCTGTGTCATCAGCCTCACGTCTCCAAGGAAGACGCATCACCAGATTCTCACTGGATGTGCAAGAGGTGCGTTGATTGTCAGCCGAGGGTGCGGGAGCCTGAAAATCCCAAGAATTCGATGATCAAGGCGAATATCCGGAAGGTCTGCAGTGGAAGGGATCAGCCAGAGCCACCACCTCAGGATCTCACGAAATTACCTTACGATCCTGCAATGCTTACCTGGGATGCACATCATAGAGTCAATGCTGAGCAGATTTACTGCTACTGTGGACTCAATGGTGAGTGGTATACTCAAATGTTGCAGTGTGCCAGATGTAAGATGTGGTTTCATGAGAAATGCGTTAGCTGTCTCACTCATCCACTCTACAGTGGTGACAGGTTCTACGTTTTTGTATGCTCTACCTGCAATTATGGAAACGAATTCGTTCGTCGACTTGAGCTCAAGTGGGTGGATCTCGTGCACCTGATGCTGTACAATCTCACTGTTTACAATGCCAAGAAATATTATGATCTTGACACTGTTATCATACCATATGCCATGGAGAACTGGAACTCGTTGCAACTACCTCCTAATGTAAGTTCATTTAATTGTCTCAAACGTTTTTATGAATATATTTCCAAAGTATCTAAAGACGATAACGAAGTTTTTGTCAGAATTTTTTTTCGTAGAATCGATTGGACACTACAAATAAAAATTCTTACAAAAATTTGGCTATCTCTGCTATACTCAGAAATACTCTGGAGTTTCCATTGATTAATTATTGAGATTATTGGTTCTTTCATCCCTTCAGAATCAAATTGCATTGTTTTATTTTTTCGAAGATTTTCGAAGCCACTGCAGCAACACGTCGTCAATCAATTCTTCAAATTCTCTGCAACAACAGGAACAGATTTAAATGTGGTCGTGAAATAAAGAAACGTACAACGATATGGGGTCTCAGGGTTAGATTGCCACCGCCATGTCCAGTTGTCAATTTGCCATCAACTGGGCTCGTTGATGATTCAGTCTTGAGGAGGTGTTGGGGTGGAAATAAAAGACTGCAGTATCTTCTACCACCAGAAAGGTGAATTTAAATCAAAGACTATTGATGAGTGGGCGAATCCTGAAGTAAATAATTCTAAGAAACTATTGAATTTCTTTATTAGCGTACATGAAAAATAGTTTTTAAAGATGTATTTGCACAAGTCTGTGGATTGCTATTTCGAGAATTAAAGACAGTCAGCACCTTTGAACAATTTTTGAAGACTCAGGTAGATTCAGTGTAAGCAAGAAAAAATGTATAAATTTATTTGCGAATTGAGAAGTGTATATGTAGGATTATTTGCGCGATTCCTCACAGTGTATTCCCTTGATATAGTATATTACTTACTTTTTTTTAACTATATTAATTTTACTTGAAATAAATAAAATGCTTGATTATGTAAGATTAGCTTAGATGCTTGTTAATTCGCCAATTCTTATGGAGTGAATGAAATTATCTGTAGCTAGAAGAAATCAAGGACAAAGTTGATATTTTTTCTCGTTGTGCCTAATATACAAGGTTCAGGCGAATTAAACTGATGGAAACAGGAGAGAATCTATTGCAAGTGCGACAGAAGTGAATCTTATTATTTTCCATTGACTTGCAAAGTTATGTAATGTTTTATTAAATTGTCTTGTTTTAGTTCGATAACAATGGCAGAATGTACAAAGCCACCAAGTCCAATGAAGCAGAGCCCTGAGAACGTTGAGATTTCAGTTAATCCATCGGACTTAGTGATGCGAGGTACTGTTTTCCAAAATACTGAGGCTGACCAGAGTACGTGTCCAAGTCCAAACTCTCAGGAACCATCTACACAGTCACTGCGTGACAGGTTCGTTTGATTCAATTGTTTTATTTTTCTTTGACCTTTTCAAGTGATATAACATTTTTAATGTTGCCAAAATTTTGGTCAACTCATCTCAGATTGATTTAAAACCTTGAAAGCTTATTACTTAAACTCATACAGACTTTTTCAAAAATAAAACAAATTGATTATAATTCCCTCCAAAATTTATCACTAATTCAATTGTTATGCAAAAAGGTTGGGCCATGAACATTTTAATGTTGCAATTTTTAAAATTAAATGATGTGCTTCAAATTCTATCACCTGATTCTTTTATTTGTTAAAAAAAAATATTGAATGGTTTTTTTTTAACTGCAGATATCACTTGTATTATCTTGATTTTATGTTGATTAAACAAAACAGAGAGGAAAAAATAAACAAGCCACTCGCTCTCACCATCGAAAATATTTTGATGCTAGGTACAGTGGTGGTGGATTTGTTAAAAAGTCGTTCCCCTTTCCAAAATTAAGTTTGCAACGACGAAGAAGATTGATGGCACTCGGCAGTTCTCGTGAAAGAATGCTGAGGAAACACAAGAAACGGGAAAAAGGCTGTGTTGATACTGCCAAGGCGCAGGGTGTGAGGGAAGCCAGATACAGGAAGGCGAGGAAACTTCTCAAAAATGCAATCGCGAAGGTATTCCATAATTTCAATTCCAATAATGCAAATTGCATGAGATATTCGCAACACGGAGCTATAAAAATCGAAATAATACGAAAGGACCATTGATTATCTGTTTTGATTAAAAAATGAAATGACCCAAAAATAAAATGGCCCAGTATGTATTTGAGGAGATACCAGAATAAACATCAGTGCTTACGTCAATCTCGTTGAAATTTAGCTCAATTAAAATCTGACAATGACATGGATTGAAATCCGCTATTCGGCAGTTGAAAACAGTTGGTTCGCACAGTTTTAAACCTACGTGGAAAAAATGTTTTATTTTCAGGGACTCAATCCTATTTTTTAGAAGTTGACTCCTATATTTTTTATTTTTAATAATTAATTTCTGATTAATTAATTCATTGAGAAATCAAAGTGCAATGTCCTAAAAATCAGACAACTGTTCCCCTCAATTTCATAGATTTTTTAATTGAAAACAAGAAAAGAATTCCCTTAATTCCAAAATTCCTCAAAAATCGTGGATGAGCTCTTGAGAATGAAAATATTGATTTGTGCCCCTAAATTATTAGTTCCAGAGTACCGACGGTAGTGGCCGTGCGGTTAGAGTGCTGGACTAGCATGCCAAGGATCCGGGTTCGATCCCGGGCACCGGCGGTCAAAAATATATAGCGCTCTGATCTCACGGTTTCACTGCCGAGCGGTAGTCCTGTCAAAAGGACAACTGTACAGGGCAGGTTTTTCCCTCAGATGAGGTTTTCCCTCCCTTTCAGCAAATGCGGTACAAGGGGTTGGGGGTTGGGGGGTGGGAAGGGAACAAATCGTAAAAACCCGAAAGGGTATACGAGTGAAAGAAAAAATTTTTTTTTTATTAGTTCCAGAGTCAAACCTAAACCACGCGCAGCTTTAATACTTTCTGGAAAATCCCCTTATCCGTCGACTATTCAAAAATAATTTTTCCAAAAAAATCATCATTTATATGTAATTCCCTACAAATTCTCCAGAGTAAAACAAGATCTCCAGAGGTGTCCGACCTGCCTCCAACCCCTCCCACGTCAGTGTCAGGACCACCAACGCCCCCAGCAACGACCTCAGCGATGAGTGAGCTGTCAGTGCCAAGTTCGGTTGACCTGATGCACCCGCTGCCCCCCTCGACCCCAGCAGACACCAGCGGAGACGAGACAAGCTCTCGCGGCACCTTAGATTCATTCATCCCCCCTCCAAAGGACTTCGAGGGCAAAAACAACCCCTTCCGAAACCTGAGTGATCTCCTTGGGACGCCTTGTACACCAGGCCAGAGCACCTCCAGCACTCCTTTACCCTATAGTCAACCTCCCATCACACTACCCCTTCCCCTGACCCCAGTGATATCCCAACCTCCAATAGTCAGGCCTGCAAAGCGTCAATTATCAGAAAAGGACATAATAATCGATAGAAATGGACAGGTAAAGAGAAGAAGACAGCATCGTCGAGGTCGTCCACCCCAGCAGCCCCAACAGCAACAGTTCCCGACGACTGCCAGCAAAACAGCTGCAATTCTGCCAGCGCGCAGTAACGAGGTCAAGGGGGACTTCGTCAGGAATCTCAGAAGTTCCTTCAACACCTCCTCCAGCAGCACCAATAGCCAAATACCCAATTGTGTGGATTATGCTCTCAATGGGCGAAGGCTGCGACAACGACAGACAAATGAGAAACTTCTTCCGCCTGACAGTCAGGCCAAAAGAAATGCACCAACATCTCCAAAATGCTCACCTGTCAAACAGAGCGCTCCGGATATATCCATGGATGATCTCAAATCCTCTGTCAACATGTACTTTGGTGCTGCCAACAGAATAGCCTCTGGAGAGAAGTTCGTCGTCAGGGCGAAGAGAATTGGCCCTCAGGGACAGCTACAGTATCTTATTGAGTGGGAAGGGCCTAAAACATAACGGTAATTTTTTTCGTTATTATTGGGATTTTGGAGACTGTCAATTGTGGGAGATTTTTTTTTTTTTTTTGGAACTTTGCACTGCCCGTTTCAGGAGGGGAGGATGGAATTGATGGTGGAATTTTTAGGAGGCGAGCCCTCAGTCCTGAATTTAACCAGCATCTCAGAATACTGAAAATAATTTCTGTAAGCAATGGAAATTATTTTTGGGACGATTACGCCGTCCACGTTTGCTGAATCGTATCGTTTGTGAATATAATGTAGGGATACGAGGGTCTGGTGAATCAGTGAATGTGTACCGCGTTTCTTTGTCTGGGGAATGAGACAAATTATTGCACTCTAACTGGAGTAGAAAATCATAGAAAGGTTTAGGAATTCTTTGGGTTTTTTCAAGGGATGAGAGGAACTGGTCCAGTCATTGGCACTGACTTGGACAACGCACTGGGGATATTTTTGGATAATTTAGACACAAGATTTATTGATACGAATGCAGAATTCCCTGCGACACTTATTTTTTCAATGGCAATATGAGATGAAATAATATTAGGTGTAGTTCAACTGCAACTGCGTCTCTCTTGGTGTTCTCGAGGTCTCACTACAGAATCTTTTCCGGAGAGTCTTGGAGAAATGTCTTCGGGGAATCCAGTGGGAGAAGCTGCTGTGGCCTTGCTCACTACACAGCTTAAAAAATTGTACTGAATTTTCTGAAGAACTGCCCCGAGTCCGTAGTGAGACAATACTGATTTTTTACTAGTAGATAAATTAAAATTTTAGATTTGCCATGAACTTATCAATTTTCTTAGATCTCTGTCGTCTAGCTCAATTTAAATTTACTACTTCTCTGGAAATTCTCATAATTCGAAGACATGATAAATTCAGTAACAATTTTTTAACGGTGTACAAGACTAAAAACTCAAGAGAATAATACTTACCTGTCTCAGAATCACTTCGAATATACAGATGGACGATACTTTCATTTAATCCGATCAGAAACTAATGTAGAATTGTCCTCTTGGAACGTAGAATTGTCCGATAACGAAATTACTCACCTGACAATTAAGGATTATCAAGTCGGTGGTGACAAGAGCTTATTAGAAAATTAAAAAAAAAATATTTCTACGTGCGAATGGTGTAAATTGAGTTTTGTTACGATATTTCCCATTCATGACAAGAATTAAATCCATGATTAAACGACTTCATTTATCAAAACTGTTGGATTATTTACAATAATTTTGATAACAACAGCCTCTGAATTCTCAACACTGGGAATCTTTATTCAATATTAGGTGAAATTTCTCGGTCAATTTCTCATTACTCTGAACAAATATTGAGAATTCAGATGAATTGTTGTCTGAATGTTACAATTCGTCTTGAATGTTAAAATTCTATTGACTATGCGAGAAATATTATAAGGAAATTTGATGCGAATTGATCAATAGTTTCAAGAGTAATTTTCTAATTATCCGCTCTGATAACAACAAGTATTGCAAAGAACCCATTGCACATCTCGACGTTTGTATTAATCGTTCATTCGAATTTTATTGAGCATTTAGGTGATATTCGAAACGACAAGAAATGGACACTGCCAAACTCCTAATTTATGTAAAACTGAATATTTAAATACTGCTTTGCTATTATTTTATGTTAGCCTTTGTCACATCAAAGGAATCTCGTTATACTATCATTTGTGTTCGAAAAAAAAAAATCAATTTCCACGTGACGTGGAAATGGCACGTATAAATTGTGTTCGTATTGAATTATTCATGAAAAAAATCGTTCCGATTTTATGATTATTTTTAAATCTCGTTGGGCACAAGTTATCGTAAAATGACGGTATCAATTGTGTAGCATTTCAATTACGAGAAATCAACTTTTATTATCAATCAAACAGGAGTACACAGAGAAAAAAGTTTCTTGGTTCTAAAAAATTGTTTACTCTTTGACGAATTGATTTTGTAGAATTGAGAAACTTATTTTTTAATAGAAGGAAGTTGTTTTTACCATCGAAATCCATTTTCTCTGAGTGTAAAAGATTTATAAAATTCAATGAAATTAGGAGAAAATTACTGCCAGTATCGTATGTAAATATTTCCAATTTTTATCGACTAAATATGGTAAATGTACGAAGTAACATGTTTGTGAGGATAATCGTGATTAACGTGTGAAAAAAATGAGATGATGGAAATAGTGTGTGTGAGAGTGAAAGCTCAAGCGCTTCCAGTGGACACGTCGGCTGTTGGATCCCCAAAATGCCCACCGAAAATATTTTCCAAAAATGTTAAAATTGTAAATGTGTTGTCCTCAATGCATAATGATCGTTCAATGAAAAGTTTATCCTGTAATCATCATTAATATCACTATTTAATTTATGATTGAATAAACGGTAAATAACTGAGTTTATTTTTCACCCCAGTCGATGTATCAATGGGTTCGAAATTATTTTGCTGACCAAAAAGTTAATGTCGAATAATTGTGAAAAATTGATAAATCCACCATTGAAGTATCGATTGATTCGCGTGTATTGGTAGCCAACCCCTTAATGTGATGTGATCTACAATTAATGTAATGAGAGGAATGGTCCACTGTGAGAATGGATGGTTGAACGAGGAAGTGAATGGTATCATCACTTTTATGTTTATACTATTGACGAATCAGTTTTACTCGTATTTGTAATTAAAGATAAGATTTATTATTAATTTTCTTTATTCGAGGAGCTCTGCTTCGTATCTTCAATGTTGTTCTGTTCAGCTTGGGCTAAAGAGACTGATAAATAGATCCTTGTCATTTTTCATTCAATTTCATTGTCTCATTTATCATAATTTTATCCTTTAGCTAAATCATTCCTTTATAGAGAATTTGATTTATTTTCGATAATCGTTGGAGCAGCGATCGTCGTTCGCGTGTATATATCATTCGTTAATTATTTCGATTTAATGATTTGCCAGTTGGAGGATTCGCGAGTGGAGAGTGATATGTGGCTCGAGGATGAATGCTTTTTTTTCGTTTTTTAGAGGATCGCAGGCGGTATTTGTAGATGATTACTGTTTACGTTATTAGTTTTTCATGTACTCTCACACTTTTCAATTTATTACGTACCAGTTTTCCAAGTGACACCAACGGCTACCAACTTTGGTTTCTTTCGGCATACTTACTTGTGCTAGGAATCTTTTTATCGTAATGTATGGACTAAACATGAAGTAATGAGGTAGTAAGGTTTATAATTATTACGATGATTGGTGTGATGACTGTAAAGTATACGTACGATTTTTCGGATGATAATAAATGCAACAAAAGGCTATCATTCCAAATTTTATATCGCTGTTTGTATTCATTCTCCTTGTTTCCTATTACATCTTTTTTGATTTTTTAAATTCAATTTCTGCCGACCAAGGGTATTTTAAAAATTATAAACATATTCAATTCAATTTATCTCATTCTAACATTTCGCGATTAATTTTTCAACCATCATGCAAAACTTATGAAAAAAAAAAAATTTATAACACGGAATGGGAATGGAAATAATGAAAAAATATTTATCATGAATGTTAGACTATTTATTATTACATCTGTTTAAAAGACATAACTTATTTATAAAAATATGGGAAATACAGTTGTGGGCAGGGAAGAAGATAGGTTCAAACATATCTTTAGTTTTCCTTACTCTAGTTTTATCCTAATAAAACTCAGTACTTTTTACAAGTTACAAGGAATAACAAATTCTATCATAATGCAAGTTTTCTCTAACTTACTCATTAACCATAAACTACTCCATACCTTAATCCTATCTCTATTCAATTAATCATTTTTATTTAACACAGAGTGAAGGTGCGTCAGAGAGCATAATTTATTGTCATTGATAATGATTTTTGTCATTCGTACGTAAATCATACGTACCCACCAATCTCTCGTGTAAGGCCTCATTTATGAACAGACTATTAGTCACTGGGTGTTGCAATCTCTCGTTCAGTGTTTTTTTTTATTGATTGTTCACAGTCTTTAGCATGATAAATTATCTGAACGAGTTCATTTCATCAATAATATTCCAACTTGTTTTTATCGGAGATCTCCATCACACCTGTGTAACCCATTATTGCATTAAGAACAATATACAAAATAATTTCTAGTATCCTTAATGCAACGGAAAATCACACGATACATCGTTAAACGTTCGTAATTTAATATAAATCGATAAACATTATAACTCAAATATTCGTTTGAGTGATTACAAAAATTAGGCGTAATTAATTTCATTCGTAGCAACGATATCGCTAGTTTACGTCGGTGTAAAAAAATTGTATGTAAAAACAGTTTGTACAAAAATCGAGAGAAAAGATGATAAAGCAATACTCGACCACTGCGTGAGTAGACAAGGGAGTATATACAAATTCAATATCGTTCCATTCAAGTTATCAAGAGATACTTTTACTTCAATCCTCTGATATCTCCGTCGCGCATCTCTCAGAAATACTAGTATTGCAGACGCGAGTCGATTGGTATCTGTCGATAAAACCTTTTCTCTCGCAACAATTCTAGGTAAAAATGATATTAATTATGCGAAGACACCATTCAATATTTTCAGAGTGTTGTAACCTCTCTTTAGACCCAGATAAGTATTCTTTTTCCATTTACTTTCGTTAAATATCTTGTTATTACATTATCTCAATTATTATAAATCGATTTAGGTGAGAAGTCAGTTTTCAAGGAATAACCTTGAATCTACGACAGATTGCGAAATTTTTGTAAGAACCTTTTTTGTAGATCTCATTTCAGTCTACACAAGAGGTTCCGATGAAATTTTCGCTATCTCTCGTGGAGTCAGCAGTATTCCACGAAAATGGAACGAGGGAACTAATTGAGTTGTTATGATTCAATTGTTCGTTGATGAATCATTTTTCTGGGTACAATTCATATTCTCGTTTGGTTTTGGCAAGACAGTTCAGAGAATGGCAGGGGCCTCGTCGACGTTTTCTTATCTTAATTAGAAAACTGGAAATGTTCGTAATAATAAAAAGAAAAATCGTTAATTACGTATTTTCTAAGCTAGTTATTCTCCTGCTAATTCTCGTTTACGACTTCCAATGAAATATTTTTTTTTTGGAATGTCTGTATGGAACAATAAGTCGGAGGAGACCCCAGGAATTCTCTGTCCCTGTCCACCAAACGTTCTTTACTCCCTGCACTATCACTTATGTAAATTCAAAGGCACAATCCACAATTCCTCGAGTATTTGAAAATTAAATCAGTATGCTAGCGAATACTCGGCAGTGGTGATTAGAATATTCGAACGATCCCTTAAATTGTCTCAGAGACACATTACAATCGTGCTATCCTACATTAAATAGAAATATTACATAATCTAAATTCAAGAACCCTAGCACGATTACACCAACTTTTTTTCAGAACTCGACTGAATTTATTTACAACGTCTCAGGTTGTTCTCACCCAGAGGCCCATCAAAAAATTCTAGAAAAAGCTGATCACTTATCATGTAGAAGGCACCTCGAATCCAAAAATTGTACCACTCCAAAGTTTTTTTCTATAAAAAATATAATATCCTAATCCAATACGTCTCAGTAAACGAGTACGTCGTGTCTCTGATTCAATATGAAAAGTCTTTGTTAAAGAGATATTCATACACGGGGTGAAGGCAGCAGAAACTTTTTTAATTTCAGGGCAAGCGAGAATGGAAAATAATCATTTTAATATTTCTTTGAATTTAATTAGAATTATATTTCAAGTAAATACTTTTGAAATAGAACAGAAAATTAATTTTGTCACGGCTTTATATGTTATTATCAATAGATCTGAAGAATTACTATTTTGAGTCTCTGCCTGAAATCGATAATTAAGAAACATTCGACTCATCTCACTTCATGACTTAGCTACTGAATTTAAATTCCCTACCAAGAAAAAATATATATTTCTAAAGATATATTTTAAACATTCAGAATCAGTTAATACAAAAACCATATATTTTCTAAATATATGAAATTGGTCCACGTTATATACATTCCAGTAGCGAAGAGATAAAGTATAATAAGTCGACAGGTTCTCTGAGTTCCTAAGGACCTTTTTCGAAATTGGATCGACAGCTAAGAAAAAAGCTCCACAAAAATTGATTTATCCTTCTGAGATTCAAACGTAGCTTCAAAAACTGTCCTACCACCTAAATAAAAAATTACCCTTGCGGTCTTTATCATCATTTCCCTAAAATCTCGATTCTCGCCTGAAAAAAAAAATCGGTAAATCCTGCCTGTTCCCCATGGAGAATCCCTGAGCCCCTCAAATATAGATAGCCTCGGAGCCTTTATTGCTTTGGTGCTGTCCGCCAGTGCCATAAGCATTGGGTGAAGCCATGCACTCGGACCAGTCACTATTAGAATGTGGTGAACTGCTGGACCAGTGTCCAGGGCTATCAGGAGATGGTGTAGGGAAGCTCTCAGGTGCCTGCATGAGATGCTGAGGTGTGACATCGGGCCCAGAATGATGAGACGGTGGTGTCAGATACTGATAGTACTGCTGATTGCTCTGCTGTGGCTGTTGCATCTGTCCCTGCTGCATGGCCTGCATCTGCTGGCCTGAGTACGGTAGATTATCAAAGTCAAAACCCACAGGTGGCATTCCCCCGTGTTTCTGATGTGTCGCCTGCCTCATGGCAGCAATATGCGTTGGTGACGTTGGAAGTGATGGCCTGCTCTTTGCAGGTGATGGCGATCCCATGTAACTCGCCTGTGGTGACAACGTCATGTTGGACTGCACTGAATGCGGTGGTGACTGATTACTGTACGGTGGCGACAACGTATTCACCATTCCCTGGGTCTGACGCTGATGTGGCGTCAGCAATTGGTCATGAAAATTCGGCAAACCATAATTAGTTGTGAATGTGTCGAGGCCCAGCTGTTGCAGGCCCTGCATCGTCTGTCCCTTTATGCAATCCTCGTAGGGTGGTGGCTGTTTTGCTGTTGTGTGGCCTACGAGGGGGAGAGCATTGCTGTACAAACTTGCACTGTCGTAGGGACTCGGTAGATTGCCCTCTGCTCCCTCCGCTCCCTGAGGGATCTCCTGGTTTGGGGGCTGGGCACCACGTTTTGCTGGTACTTTTTTCACCGAGCCTTTTCGCCTCGCTGTAACAGCCCCCTCCGACTCGGGACTGTTGGGATTGCAGGCACCAGCTTTCGGTCGTTTCTTCGCTTTTGAGTGTTTTGGCGCTGAGCCAATCACAGTTGGAGGGGTTATCAGTTGGGGATGATTGGGTGAGCCCATCAGTGGTCCATTGGGTATCACTGATACCATCTGAGGGGATCTGGGGACGTGTTCGTCGAGGAGTCTGACGATATCGTGATGGAGACGCTCAGAGGCAACGTCTCGGGGCAGTCTGTCCATGTGATCTGTGATCTCTCGATTGGCAAATGTGTCTAGCAACGCTTTGCAGGCCTCGAAGGAGCCCTCCCTCGCTGCCAGGAATAACGGTGTTTCATCCTTGTCGTCCTGGGCGTCTCTGTTCGCCCCATGGACGAGGAGAATATTCACAGCATCCACATTGTTGACAGCTGACGCCCAGTGGAGGGCAGTCTTTCCACTGTTGTCAGCTGCATTGATATCAGCATCAGCGTTTATGAGGTCCTCGACCATTCCCTCAGTGGCCAACCTGGCTGCCAGTATTAGGGGTGTTGTTCCATCGTGCATTCTGGCATTGAGATTCGTCGCACGATTTCTCAGGAGGATCTGGAAGACTCCCATGGCGTCAGCTGCCACTGCAGAATGGAGTGGTGTTCTGCCAGTGTTATCCTGGGAATTGGCCTCAGCCCCAGCATCGAGGAGCCTCTTGGCAGCGTCTGCCCTGGCGTATCGTGCAGCCAGATGAAGACTCGTCTCTCCACTCTTCTCGGTGGTGGCATTGAGATCTGCTCCCTGTGCCACAAGATCTGAGATCACAGCAGCTGTTCCATCTGACTCGTCCTCCTCCTCTCCAGTATCTAGGCCTCCACCACGCACCGCGGCGACCATCAGTGGTGTCATTCCGCAGGGGCCCCTGGCATCAATATCCTGGCCGTGCTCTAAACTCGGTGGTGTCAGTACACCCGCCTCTGGACGTCTTATCTCAGCTGCATCCAGGTGCTGCTGTGTCCACATTCTTGGCTCTGTCTCCTCGTAATCAGTCACAGCTGTGTGATCACTGGCATATCCTGGCTCGATGGCCCTCATCCTTTTGGAAGGTGGCAGGTCAGACTCGTCATCCGACCACTGCTGTACCCTGCCATTCCCCACGTCCAGATCCATGCAATTTACTGACGGTTGTTTATTCAAATTCCTCATCTCCTGGCCATCAGGTCCTCGTCTCCTCGATCTTCTTCTCTGTCCACTCCCTGCGGATGTCCTCAGAAAACCATCTGGGAACCAAGTGACACCCACTGCTCGTTTCCTCTGGGCTGTCACCAGGACTCCCACTAACATCCCACCGAGGATTACAATTACAACACCGATGAATACATATTTGTAATTTGTAGGAGAATCCGAGTAGTCTGGCGGTCCCACTACCCCTCGCACCTCCTCGATAGGGAAATCCCCGGAGAGGGTGTGTTTCGAGGCTGTAGCTGCGAGGTATTCAGCGGCTTCAGTTGCTGAAAGAAAGCAGACAGCTCCTTGCGTCAGAGAGCACTTTCTGTTGTCCATCTCCAGGTAAACGATCACTCCGTTCTGATTGTCTGGGTACATCTGCGGGCGGCCGAAGAATCCGTGCATCGAAGGGTCCCTTGACCCCTTCCAGGGATAAATCATGTCGTTCCCCAACTCGTCTTGCTTCAATCGTAATGTTGTTCTCAATTCGTGGCCAAAGCGTCGTAAAAAGGCAACAGCGTTCGATCGAAAACTCGCCATGTCCATCCTCAGGACTACTGATAGGGCTCCCTCAGCCAGGGCTGGAGGCTCCTCCTCACAATCCATTCCATCCCAGTTGCATTCCTCATTGTCGCAACCGTAATCGCAGTGACCGTTCGCATAGTGTTTCTGGCAGTAGGCATCGTAAATTGGATTGCACTTTTCGAGTTTTTTCTCACAGTCGCGACCATCGAAGAGGCACTGGGAGTTATTACACTCTTCGTCGCAAACGCCGTTCATGAAGACGTCCCAGCAGTTAATCCTCGCGGTGCAGTTTCTCCAGGGGTTGATACCCAGGGAACAATCGTTACCATCGAAGTTGCAGGCATACCTGTTACATTCCTCGTCACACCTGTGGTTTCTGGACTTCTCCTCACACCTGTTCTCCACACACTTCTTCCGTTCACGTTCCAGATCCTGTTCAATCTCTCCACGTTGAGGAATAATGGATGCAGGTCTTCCAAAGATTCCCCCACGTCCGTTTTTGTCATAAATTTCACAGTTTTTGCCAGTCCACTTAGGTGGACACGAGCAGGCATAATCCCCCACAAGATCCTGACAGATAGCATCAGACTGCTGACAGGGATTGCTTACACACTCGTCCTTGATATCGATCTCGCAATGAGTGCCAGAGGTTCCCGGAGGGCAGTAGCACCTGTACCCCATCTCCGTGGCAGCGACACCACAAGTGCCCCCATGAAGACAAGGATCAGTATCACAATAAGACCCAGCAAATTCACAATTATGACCATAATAATCACTAGGACATAGACAAGTGTGTCCCGCCTGTTTGGCAGTGCAGACTCCTCCATTCTGACAGGGTGAGCTATCACAGAAATTAACTTTGGCCTCGCAGTGACGTCCCATGTACCCAGGCTTGCAATTACAGTGATAGTTATTAACAAGCTGAACACAATCCTGAGTGCCTGGAGCCACACAGGGATTCGACAGACACTCGTTGATGTCTCCCTCGCACCTGGGGCCTACAAAACCCGGCGGGCACTTGCACTCAAACCCAGCGACCTTATCAGTACACGTTCCATTATTATGACAAGCCCCAGGTACACAATCATCAGGATTGATCTCACAAAGAATGCCCACAGTACCAGGAGGGCACGAGCAGCTGAAATTATTGATTAAATCATGACAAGTCCCTCCATTCTGACAGGGATTTGCCCTGCAGTCATCAACATTGAGCTCGCAGTTTTGTCCCTGGAATCCCTTGGTGCATTGGCACTGATAAGAACCCACCAGGTCCTTGCAGACAGCTCCATTTTGACATGGAGCTGAGTCACACTCATTGATCTCCTCCTGACAGTAAGACCCGGTGTATCCCTCGAGGCAGTGACACCTGTGACTATTCCCAATGTCCTCACAGGTTCCATTATTACAGAGATAGTTCTCCGGGACATTCTTACGTATTGCTGCATCCTTACAGGACACCATCTCCACATCGCAAACCTTTCCAGTCCATCCGGGTGAGCAGTTGCAGTGATACTTGTTCTTATGCTGAACACATGTGGCTCCATTCTCGCAGGGCTTATCAGCACACCAATCGACGAAAATATCACACCTCTGTCCAGTGTATCCATAAGGGCAGTGACAAGTGTAGTGCTGATTGACATCGTCGTGGCATGTGGCCCCATTAGCACAGGGTGAGCTGTCACACTCGTTGATCCTATATTGACAGTTCGATCCAGTGTACCCTGGCTGGCATACACACGTGTAATTATTGATTCCATCGATGCACTTTCCTCCATTCATGCAAGAGCTCTCGGTGCAATCCTCATCGTTGGTCTGACAATTGATCCCCGAAAATCCCAATTGACAGGTGCAGGTGTAGGAGTTGACGTATTGATTACAAACGGCACCGTTTTGACAGGGTGACGATTGGCATTCGTCGACGTCGATGCCACAGTGTTTGCCACTGAATCCATCGACGCAGAGGCATGTGTAGTCCCCAATGCCATCCAGACAGGTGCCACCGTTTTGACAGGGAAATGAGGCGCAGTCATCGGTGTTTATTATGCAATCCCTGCCCTCGTAGCCCTTGGCACAGGCGCAGTGGTAAGAACCATTTGTGTTCCTGCAGGTCGCACCATTTCGGCAGGGCGATGTCATTATACACTCGTCGACGTCCTCGTCGCAGAGACGCCCGGTGTAGCCAACTGTGCAGGTGCACGCGAAATCCAGGAAGTTTGAGGATGGAGAGCACTTTGCACCGTGCAAACACTTGTTCGGTGAGCAGGGATCCAGTTTGTCCTCGCAGTTGCGTCCGGTGTGTGGAAGCTCGCAGACACATTTATAATCGTTCACCAGGTCGATGCACGAGCCGCCGTTTTGGCAAGGATTTGTAGCACAATCGTCGATGTTTGTCTCGCAGTTGGTGCCCGAGTAACCCGCTAGGCACTGGCAACTGTAGTCATTCAGGTGATCTATGCAGAGACCTCCGTGTTGGCAGGGATTTGAGCCGCACTCGTCGATGTCCACGTCACAGCGTTTACCACCATATCCTGGGAGGCAGTGGCAGATGAATTGGTTTACACCGTCTTCACAACGACCTCCGTTTGTACACGGATTGCTAGCACACTCGTCCACGTCGCTGAGGCAACGTGCGTCGTAGTATCCACGTGGGCATTCGCAACGGTAGTCATTTATCAGATCGATGCAACGACCACCGTTGGCGCAGGGGTTGCTCGAGCACTCGTTTATGTCTGTCTCGCAATGCTGACCGGTGAAACCTGGCTCACATTCACAAGAGTACCTGCAAGCACAAAGGCTAAAGTTAGAGGGGTGAGGGGTGCACGGGGCAAACAGGAGGGATGGAGTGTTTTTTTTCGATGATTCCTGATGGATTTCTGAAAAATCGCAGTATTCTCTCGATTTTTCACAAATTTTCTGGATTTCATTCAAAAACAGCGATATTTTCTCACAATTTTCCCTAAGCGATCAAAAATTGAGTTCTCGTGTATTTTATGAAAAATTGGAAATTTTTCGTTGATTACAAAAAAAAAAAAAATAGGAGAATTCGTAAAAAATTTCACTCCACCGTCTTCCAGTCATCACTAACAAATCATTCATTTTCGTTAAACTCAATTGCAACCAGAATCAACTCGTTACCTTTCATCACTGCACTACAGATCTATATCAGTAATTAGTCAGTAAGTAATATCTCCAAAATACTAAATTTCAATCATCAATTCAGTCATATTAAGTAAGGAGATAATTATCCCACATCGAACAGCCCCTGAGCACGCGGAAACGTCGAAAAAAAAAAATTGGAAAGTCCCAGGAACTTACAATCTCTAATACCAACATAACACTTTTTTTCTCGAGTGAATTTTAAATTAGTAAACATGCAAATGTTTCAATCCCTGGAATTTACGATATCGCTCAGCTACTAGAGAAATCAAAAAGGCTCATAAACACTTCATGAGACCCTGGACTTTCATTTTACATTCGATTTTTGCGTTAAACACGATCCTTCATAAATTCCATACTTATCTCCTTACTTCACCAGAGAGAAAAAAAAATCACAAATTACAAACATAAATATCAGGGGCAAGTGAAGGGAATCAGTGAGGCACAAAATAAAAGCAGGTGACTGTGTAAAAAGGAGTGAAAAAAAATCCACAAATAAAAATAATTCAAGCACACACCGACACTTAAATTACGTACCATCCAAGCCCTGGCATCCGATTGCTGAGATCGATCGGTGAGAGATAGAAAAAAAGCGCACGAGACGGGCAGATTAGTATAATGAAGACATTTATTTCGATATTTAATATTAATAAAGTGGGCAGTCCGTGAGGATTAAACAGGTTCTCCTTATGAGGCCAATGTTATTTAATTGTTGAGAGAGAAATAGGCTGATTGTATGATTAACTTCTCATTTCGGAATAAAAATTTTTCTTAATCATCAATTGATCTGGATATGATCTAGATTGATTAAAATTCAAAAAAAAAGTCCTTTGCCATTTCTCCCTATAATCAATAGCTTTAGAGAGTCGTCGATATATTCTCAAAATGACAATTGTAAAATAACTTGTGAACCGCACTCCTCTTTATAATTCTAATTGCTTGCTGCCTCCAACAGTTCCATTAGTTCAATCCGTTCCATTTCTCTCCGTTAATCGTCTTAGCTCAGAAAAAAAAATAGAAAACGAACGAACCTGTTGATGCCATCCACACAGCGTGCACCATTTCTGCAGGGATTGCTGTAGCACTCATTGACATTGATATCGCAGTTGGTTCCAGAGGTTCCTGGTCTGCATATGCACTGATACCCATTGATTCTGTCCTCGCAACGACCTCCAAATTGGCAGGGATTGCTCTCGCACTCGTCAATCTGGGTTTGACACAGTTTCCCGGTGAAACCTGGGAAACAACTGCAGGTGAAGGAGTTCTCGCCATCGATGCACGTGCCACTGTGACAGGGATTTGACTGGCAGTCGTTGATATTTGTCTCGCACGATGCACCAGTGAAACCTGGTGGGCATTCGCACGTGTACTTGGCTATTGAATCCTGACATGTGCCACCATTTTTGCACGGAGATGATGCACAGTCATCAATATTTATCTGGCAGTGCGTACCGGCAAAGCCTTTGGCACACTCACACTTGAATAAATTTACGAGGTCTGTGCAACGACCATTGTTCAGACAGGGATTTGCTGCGCATTCGTCTATGTCTATTTCACATTGGGTTCCGGTGTACCCTGCAAAAAATAAAAAAAAACACATTGTCAACTGATTTATCGATCTATTCATTTAGTTATTATTGTTAAAAAGACTTCCACCGATAGAAAAATGGAACAAGTCACTGTCCCTTCAGATCATACTCATATTTCTATTATTTCAAAGCAATCCCTTGACACCAGTCAGGATAATTACTTAATTATATTCAAGTGTAATTAATACTCAGGCTCGATTGCTCGTTAATTCATTAATGCTTTTAATTGTCAATAAAGATTCACTGTAATTACTAGCTAATGAATAAATGAATGAGTATGTCAGAGTCGTAATTATTTTTTTTAATAATTCAAAATCAATATTCACGATTCATTAGATATCGATTTATGTATTTATTTGAATTAAAATTAAAAGTTTAGGATTGAAAAAGAGCGATTCAATTTTGTCTGACACTGATGATTTTTTAAATAATTAATATATTTTGTTGTTTTGATTCAGTTAATAAATCGTGTGGATAATAATGAATTTGGTTTGGAATTTGAAGTTTCGAAAAATGATGGGACTATTTGAATAGATGTCCCACGGAATTCTAGCCCACGCGCAGCCTATTTACTTCATGCGAACATGACAGTTTCAATTGTCGAACGGAAATCTCTCTCTCTTTTCCTTGGTACTCATGGTATATATGTTCACATGGCAAGCAATGGAAAACGTGGAAGAGAGATAGGAGGACCTCTCCGAAAGACTCGAGAGGTAGATTAACATACGAATACGCTCACCACTGGTGGTTACAAACGTTGAATTATTGAAGGGAGGGACTCCTAGGCGGGGACCACCCGAGAATTTTTCAACGGTGACTCGGATATTCCCTCCATCACTCCACGGATTGAGGTGTATTGTTCTTTTTGAGAACAGCATTTCTCCGACCATTTCAATTTACTCCGCGATTATTTATTTAATTGCAAATTCAGTGGTAAAATAACCCAATCATATACAGAAAAATTGAAACAATAGGAATGAATTAAATTAATTTATTTTAATTCACTTAGAATTAATAAATTTAATTTAACGTAATTTGATTTCAAATGAATTTATAAAAATAAAATATATCAGTTTAACGAATTTTTGGAGACTTGATTGAATTAGTACCGAATTATTGATTTTAGAGCTTTGATTGAGATTTCCTGATTTCGAATTAATTTCCACAAAATAATTGAATTGAGTAAAAAATCCATTTTAAGTTTTTGGCGATTCATTCTATTCATTTTCAGTTCCCCCGATTTTCTAATTACGAAATTCATTGATCCATCGACAATACTTCTCTCAGAGAATAAAATCCACAGAGTAATGAGACAAAGGTTCTTCAAGGGGCAAATGATAGCGACGGATTTTTATTGATATTAATATGGGTAATGATATCAAAGCAATCTGCAACATGTTTGTAATTAGTCCGTAGGCGGTTGAATAAACCATGGGGCAATGGCATTAGCATAAGCCGATCGTTCGGGAGTCGATCGGACGTATGATCCTGTACACTGAGGATGGAGCAAATAAAATGAATGAAAAATGTAAATAAACCATTCCAGTTTGGAGGTGGGAGGAGTTCTTCCTGAAGAGGCGCTAGTCAATTACCCGGGGATTAATTGGCTACTGCCGATGAAAATCTCACATTCCACGTCACCCAGGGGGTTGTTCTCCTCCTCCCAGTGATCGATCGATCGATCTCGCCGATTGATCGATTGTACTCGCGCGCTTTGTACCGCATCTTCGAAATTGAATTCGCTGGGAAGTACTTCAAACATCTCGGGAATGATCGATCAGCGAGTAATTGAATATACGATAACCCGTCATGCCCCAGGTGTTGTTGAGAGTCAGAAAAATATTTACGGGAATGATTCCACAATATTTTGATTTATTATCAATTTTATTATTTCGCATCTGCTATTGAGAAAGGGATATCTGATTTCCGGAAGAAATTCCTGGTGATCTCCGTTAAATAAAAATAAATGCGTGTGGGAACCTAAACCAATGACTTATTTATTTCTTGTATAAGAATTTTGGATTTTTATTTGTCAAATTCCTTGCAACTATAAGGCGATAAAAATGAATTAACAAATAAATGAATAATAAATAAAATTTTTCAATTGAAAAAATCATCGATAAATATCAAGAGTTCCTATGGCTATAAGGGATTTTTCCTGGGAGTAATGTAATTTTTCTCGGTGCATTCAATGTTTTGCGGAATAGATTATTGCATAATTCTGTATGGAGTATTACATACGCGCCGGATTCACATTTACTGGAGCCACACCCAGGTCACGGGGATGTGAAACAACTCCAGCTCCGTTGATTCTTCAAGATAACTTGGTCCACTTTCACGGATACATTCATCACCCCCAACGCGTTGGAATCAGTAAAACGGTCAAACAATATTTTTCGATGTCCACTAGTTGAAAAAAAAAAGTACCCACTACCCGCGTGATTTATCCCTTGGGTTCATGCACTGTAAATAAATATCCAGTGATACAGTGATGTGTACAAATATTTTCCCCAACTTTTTCTTCTCACTTCAATAATTTTCCACCGTTTTACCTCATTTCTCCCCGGTTATATCTCACTGCCAAGCCGTTATGTATACCGTTTTTTATTTTTTTTTCGCTAATACGTATTTATTTTTCCTATTCATTTGTTGCTCGTTAATTTATCAAATGCAGCATTGGTTTAATCGGTGGGAAGTCACGTCGGGGACCGGTATCCAATCGGGGAAGAGAGTTAACAGCCGAGTACTGTAGGAAGCCGCGCATGGATTTTAATGAATATTATGTACGCACGCGATCAGGCACTTTACGCTCTCTCCCATATCCTCACCCTCACCCTCACCCTCACCCTTACCCTCGTCTACAGAGGGACTGAGTATCGACGACGGCGTGACCATCACTTCCGATCGAATGGAGATCGTTTCACAAATTGTCATGAAAATCCATAAAAATGGAAAGATAACGAAAATTTGAGAAATTCCGGGAAAAATATCGACGATTATGGAAATTTTTATAATCACTTCGTAAATTCGTGAAAATCTGGGAATCTTCTCGTTTTTTCTGAATTTTTTGGACAATTACAAAAAATTCAAATTCAAATACAATTCTGATTTTTCCAGAAGTGAGAGATAAAATTTTTATAATTTTCTTGAATTTCTGTCATGACAAAAAATTGACTTCCAATTCTGTTGGAATCTTAACGAATTGAATTCCCTGGCTTCCGGTATGTTTCATAAATTCCCACCATTAACCCTTTAACAAAGTATAACGAAAAGTTGGGTAAAATATAATAAAAAAAAGAATGAAAAAATGCAAGTGAATTCAGCGAGGGCACTGGCCAACCTCAGCGAGTAATAGAAATAAAGGCACGTCTCGGGAGACTCCTGAATTGCCCCCCGGTATCAAACGGTAAAAGATAATTGATGCTTCAAAAAGAAATAAAGCCCCAGATACTTTGTTTCTTGCAACAATAACATCCAAGTCGGTTTTCCGAGTAAACACTATTTTCAGGTGTAATTTCATTGGTTAAAGTTTTAGAGAGCACTTTGGAAAATACGGAAATACTGGGGATGATGATGATGAGGATGATGACGGTACACAAAGATGTAAAAGATGTAGAAAAGATCGTAAACGACGAAGAGGCCTCTACTTTAGATTCCACTGGTGGATTCCGTCGTGCTAGGGTTGGAAACCGTTGCGCGGTTATCGTAAAAAGTGGATTCATGATATACTGGGCTTTTTCTACCGCTTCACCAGATGGAAATGCGAGAATTGCAATTTTTTAACTTCATCCTCATTCTAGGGGGTCAATCAATGGAATTTTCATCAGCATTTCCATCGGTTCGTTTTATCTATCAAGTCTCTCAGGCGTATAAAAAATTTACTGTTCAATTTATCCCGAAATGTTTATGAAGAAAATTCACGAGATCAATTGAGGAAAATGTTTTGAGCTCATTAAAGAATTTGTGTATTAATTTTTAATCGAGGAATGGTATCAAGTGGGAAAGTAGAAGTGGAATTTCTGGTATTGGAGATCATTCTGGGGGATCGATAAATTGAATTTTAATGATGATTGCAGGAGGGCAATTATGGGATAATTAAATTGAAGTGCACAGCGTTCATCGATTTATTGGTATCGTTTTGAATTTTTAATTGAAGTCCTTTTTCGTTTTCGCACTGGAATATGATGTAATACCGTACAAAAATCGGAGTTCTACAGCTGTGGTGATAATTTTCTTATACTTTTCTTTACATTTCAAATAAAAATTGTTGACATTGTTCAATAAATTCCACTGATCCTCTTTTACCATCGAATTGATAACAAATAATTTTGCGGTTGATTAAAGAATAAATAAAACCCCTCCCATGAATAATTCAATGAGATAATGCTTTCAAGTCCCCAAAAAAATCTGAAATCGCTATATTCCATTAAAATAATCTACGCCATGAGCTTAATGCGAAAATCAAAATTTCATAGCTCTGGTTGAAATTTTTAATCCAATCCTTTCGGACGTCTAGGAACGGGTTCTATTAGTTATCTCAGAAGGACTCGCATAATCGAACTCGTTCGAGTCACGTAGGCATTCCCGGGGCATTAACGAGATACCAGATTTTTAAAAAAATTTAATACGAAAACTGAAATAAAAAAAAAATGAGAAAATGGCGCCTGGGTGCAGTACGCGGGCGTATCTCAGCCATGTTTAAGACGTACATCCAGAGAGACACGCGACTCGCGTATGTACACTTTATCAACGGGTTATACCATGAGGAATCGAGTATTTCGTTATACCATCGCCGTAGAAAACACACACGGGGCAATAGATTACAATTATACCGCAAGGCGGACAGCAACGCGGACGAGAGAAAACCAAATAGTTGGCGGGGGGAAGAGGGTGGAAAACGTGTTGAGACATGGGAATGTAACGTGGGAGTATTTTCAGGTATTTTCACTTTATCGTTTTTAATCATCAGGTGCACACTCGAAAAAT